ACATGAGTACTAGAAGCATAATACTCTCCTATGCGCTTCCAAAAGGCCCCTGACCTTTGGTCATTCCCAATTATCACATCCTTTGATGTGTATAACCAACCGCTTATAAGAACAAGATCATCCTGGCTGGTCCAAATCCTTCTCTCCCTTGGTGTCTTTTCTGGTTGACTTGCAGCTTGAACTGGTGGTGAGCTCGGTTGTGAACTAAAAGAAGGGATTTGAGAGAAGGAAATGTTTGCATTGGAAGAAAATTTGCCGTAAGGGAAGTTTTGGAGACTATAGTATGGTTGAGATTGACACTGGTTATTTGGATGGTCATTTGAATCCATATCCGACAGCTTAATAGAAGGAAGAGAAGTAAAAGCTTAGGTAAAAGGAGAGATTCAAAGAGGAGATATGATAGAAGAAAAGAGAATAGGAGAGAATGAATTTAACATACCTCTGGTTTAATAGAGGTAAGTTAAACTAGTTATTAGTCTTAAAGTATCATTACCTAACACAATCAAATCAGGTATAAAGACACTTTCAAACCAAAAAAGCTTTAAAGTAGCAAACTCATAACTAGAGCTAACCTTGAACTACCAAGGTCAGATCAGTATTTATTATAACTTTCCACAACTAGAAAGTTAAACAGACATTACTAGTCTGTTTACAACCAAGAAAGCTCATTCATCACATCCAAAGTAACCAGCCACCATTTCAATCATCAAATAACAAGTAAAGGAAAAGTTCAGTAAATTTGAATGTTATCCTCCCAAGTAACACACACTTTCGTTAACTTCAAAGAGGAATAGGTTTCACCACTTATTAACAAAGCACTACTCAACTATCTGAAAACAAGAGACATACAACATACATACTCCAGTTTACTCAATCATCAGAAAACAAGAACAAGAACTCTAAACTAGAAACTTCAGCAGCTAATCACAACTATATTGAGTAGGGAATTACCTTATAGTTGGCAGGAAATGGTTGTTGGTGTTGCTACTCCGATTTAAACTTCAGAGCTACCTCACCTACATGTCTCACAACCAAAACAAACACTTTTGGTCAGTTTAATCAAGCAAAAAAGACACGATACACATAAAAAAACTATAACTCTCACAGTTTAACTCGAATGTCATTGTTATTTGTAAACCTAATTTTCTTCTAATGAGAACAACAAGCAACAAAACCCATATACTAAACCCAAACCTAAACCTACATCGACTTCTAAAACAAAATCCTCTAAATCTCAGACTTTCGGATGAAACGATGAAACGATAAATCTCAGACTTTCGGAGAACACGTACCTACGGCTTTGGGAGAAAGAGGAAACGATGAAACACCAGATGGGTGAGGCGAAATCAATCGGAGAAGTCGGATGTGGCCTCGAGATCGTCGGAGATCTTTGTCGCCCTAGAGATGGTGTATCAGCAAAAAGAAGAGGAAAATAAAAGGAATAACGAGAAGGGATAGCAGAGAACGAAGCAAAGATCGATTAGGCTCCGATTTTACCGGAAATCGGTGCGAAATCGGCCAACTATCGACGACGGCAACAATCGCCGCGAGAGAGGCTGGAGAGAAACAGAACCCTAGTGTTGAAACGATTTTGCCCCAAATGAAAAAATATTTTCGATATCAAAATTCTTACCCAATCCGCGCATGCCACGTCACAGCGAGAGCGGGCCAAGAACTGATCCAGCCCAAGACCACTTCGCCCGATCTTAGCCTTCAAAACCCAAATTCTAGTCATTTTAAAATCTAAGAACATGCTCTCAGATACAGCGATAATTATGGTCTAATGTATGCTAGTTTCTTCCTTTTTTTTTCGGTCAAAAGTTGATGTATTCAACTTATTGTGTCATAGAAATCTTAGATCATCTTTTTTTATGATATGATATAGTCATGAATAGAGCACCGACATGATATGGTCATCATTGATTTAGTAAAATCTATATAGATGATGAAAGTAAAGCATGAAGCAATCAGTATCCGATCACAATATTATATGGCACTGTCTAACGATCATAATTAAGACGCAAAGATAAGTCAATATCGTTGCCCCCACAATGTTGTTATCAGAAATATAAAAAATGGATTAATTGATTTGAATTATTGGTTTGGAAAACCCTTTACCTCAAAACCAAAATTATTGGTTGGTGCTTCTTTGTTTTTCCTTTTTCTCTTTGATAGGTGCTAATGACCCACCTCGCACACAGGGGCGGACGTAGGTAGAGGAGAGGTGGGGCACGTGCCCCATACTCATTTCTCAATTTTTTTTTTTTTTTTTTTTTGTTTCATTTGCTCAACTAATATATGTATTAAAGCTAATAAATTTTTCAAAATTTATTAGGTTATGTCTCATGTACAAATAATTTCTGAAAATTTATCAAATTCATTAAGGTTGTGTCTAAGTTTGTGCTTTTGGGTTTTGGATCGGATATGGATAATTTGGATAGGAGAGTTTATTATCCGTTGAGGTTTTATGACTATGCGGTTCGGATATATGTTGGACTCGGATCGGTCGAAAAAAAAGAAAAAAAGCTAATAATTGTTCAATTATAATAAAAATTGGTTCAATTTTAATAAAATTTGGTTAAACAATTGTACAATTGTGATAAATATAACTAATGATTTTTGGATATCTAGGTTATTTAGATATTTCTTTTTAATTT